CGCATTAGAGAGGAAACATCACGAGAGGTCCGACAGCCGACTGCTGACGGTGAAAACACGCGAAGCAGCCGAGGAAAGCCCAACAACACGCTTTCTTTCCACTCTTTGTGTTCAACTGGACCGCAAGTAATTCAACACAGCTCTCCTTGTGCTGGCTCACTCAGATGAGACGCAAAGCGAATGAACTATATCAAGTGGAGCTCTGTCTGAACACCACTTACAGTAACAGCAGTGTGTGTGTGTGTGTGTGTGCGCGCGCGTTAACGGCCAAATGATTTGTAAAATCCAAACGATAATCTTGTTCTGCACATGATTCCTTGACCAAACTCAGAGAGAGACACAACGCCAGGCTGCTCTCTCCATAGCAACACACATGGAAACACAAATCTATTTCAGAGCAGCAGCACTTAAACACAGCGGACAAAAAAAAAAAAATAGGGAAAACAGCAATTAATTATTAACAGAGCTCCGTGTTCATACTTACTGCCTGCGTGTGTTGCCAGCTGCAGCCCGAACTGAGCGGCTCGGCGCCGCGCTCTCCATACGCCTGTTATCAGAGATCTCCAGCAGCAGGGCCACTCCTCAGCCGGAGGATGTGAGCCGGGATCTGCCCCTTGTCTGACATTTAATTGTTCAGCCGGGTGTGTTTGCTCTGGAGGTGTTGGCTGCCCTCACACACCGCGCACAAGGCGGCCGACGCCTAACGAGAGCAACAACAAGCCGAGGCCCCGTAAGATGACCGATAGAGAAAGTTTAAATCAACATAATGTTTGTGCTGGCATGGGCCCTGCTTGTAAATCATAAGGCCGTAAGCAGATCTGTCCACATCGATTGTTCGGAGCGGTACCTCAGCGATACCTCCGAGCCAACGCAAACAGGCAGCTGATAAGACAAACTAGTTGTTTAAGGGGAGCCAGCAGCACAATTACCTCAGCGGCTCCCTTTAATTTAGACAACCACCAGTGCTTTGGTGGGATTCCATTAAAATAAATTATCTCAGTTACAAGAAAATAAAAAAATAAAGAAGCAGCAGTTTTATATGGATGAAAAACTATTTAGGAGTCGGTTCTGTTTCTGGGACACAGAATCATTCAGGTTCTCCCATAGAGAGCTTTCACCACGCTGAATCCTCCAGACAGCGCTGGAGAGACGCTAAGTTGGTTGCGAGTGCCACTTTGATGCACGCCGTGTTGACCTTTCCAGATCATACAGGCTGATTATATGCATGTCGGACTGCAGCTTGGCAGGAGCTGCTCCAAACAGCTCTCCTCCTCTCAGAGCCATCCATTCTGCAGTGACACATGCAACCTTATGTTCTCCTGAAAGGTGGGCTGGCACTCGCTTGTCTCTCACACACACACACACACACACACACACACATACACACACACAGCTACAGTAGAAGCAGCTTCGAGGCCTGTTGCGCCCAACACACACGGTGATGTGGCCAGTCGGATAGAGACAGAGATGGCACCAGGCTTAAATGTGCTGATCTCTCCTCCTCTATTTGCTCGTTCTTGCTCCTAAAGTGGAATTTTATTGAACCCAGAAATGATGGCTGAGCATTAAAGCAGATCAAACATGATGATCGTCTGCCATCGTTAGCAGAAATTCTTTTATATTTTTCATATCAACGGCATTTCCAGTTGTGTTGCTTTTATTTGTCTTGTGTTGGTTTTCTGACATTTTATCAGCAAATAATCAACAAGAAAGTAGAAATAATAGAGACATCCTCTGTGGTTTTCAGTGTCGTGGTCGATTTATCAATTAGTTCATCAGCAGCAGTTCAAAAACTGCTTCATGTCGTTTCCTGGTTCAAGCTTCACATTTAGGAGGATTTACTGGCTCACTTTACTCATTTACATCTTTGAAATGTGAATATTTGGGTTTTTTTTGCTGCACCAAGCTACAGAGTCTGAAGGTGTCACCTCAGGTCACATGGTTTCCTACCGTTTAATTTACTGTTCATCTAATAAAGGTGGAGTTTGTTGATATTTAGCTCGTTAGCATGTGTTAGATTTACCGCCCATTGCTTTAAATGCCCCTTTTCCCTCCATCTCCCTGCTCCTGGGTGTCCTGCGCGCGTTCAAGCTCATGCACGGGACCATCCAGGAAGGCTGTGTGGATCCAAGTCGCTCAGTTTGTTTCTCGTTTACAGAACCAGGGTCCATAACCACAGAACGGACGGCTAGCGCTAGGAGGTATTCACAAATTATTGTATTCGTATGACTCAGTCTATCTTTAATTAACTAATCTACAGATCACCAGTAAACAGCTGCAGCTCCATGAAAGCACGAGGGAAGGTTCCTCAGGCTTGGCTTCCCAACAAACCAACAGGAGACGGATTAAAACATGTAAACAGGCAGAAATGCAAAGAAGAACACCTCCATCTCTGGCCTCTTCCTGCTCACCTCTGCATGCACTCAGCGTTCAGAGGAACCCTGATAGGTTCTGGCCCTGGGTAGCACCAAACCTGACAAACTGCAGCTGATTAATCACAGGTTTGAGGCGACGTATCCTCAAAAACCAGCCTTGTTAAGCAAGAGCGACTCCACCAGTGTTTGTGTGGCGCAGCGTCCCTGCAGGGATATCACCATAGCAGTAAGTGGCAGGCACTAGAGTACTTACACAGCCCGCCACAATGGGAGCAGCAATACGCCCTTTCACAGCACGGTGTTACCGAGGCAGGACACAAGATCGTACCAGCGTCCATCAGTCCAGTGGGCTAGCTATTGGGTTTCACTGTGTGCCGCGGGCCGCTGTAATCGTAGACGCTTTATCGGGACATTCTGCCGCAACTGTTTTGTTTAAGGGATTCCAAACGGGGGCGCGGGCAGGAGCCGTCTCATTACGGCCGATGTAACCGCGATCCCGCAAATTTCCGTGAATAGATAAGCACGTCTCGCCGTATCAGAATACTTGGCACAGTCGGGTCTGAGCGAGTGGAAAAGGTTTGATGCTGAGACGGTCTGTCACCGGAACGTTTCAGGATTCCTTCCTTCTCTGTCAGATTCCCGGTTTCACGACTGAAGCAGGATTATGTCAGAGCTGTGATCAATAAACATCACCAGCTACATGGTGCACAACAAAGTGAGTGATTAGACAAAAGTCATGAAGACTTTATGGTTGTTTTCAAGCTCATCGTGTGTCTCAGGACCATGAATCAGCTGTTAATGTCACCTCAGCCAGCAGATCAGATCAGAAAGGGTTTAAACATACCTACAGCTTGTTAAAGTCCTGCTGCTGTGAATGGTCATCACTTGGATTGTGTTTCACTTCATCTCTTTATAATGAGGTTCATGATAATTAGCACAATGTGAGCTTTCATCCAACTTAATACAGAGACAACAGCCTCACAACGTCCTCCTGGTTCCAGTTCTTGGTCACCTGTTTGTGAATCAGGTTGAAATGAATCAAAGACAAACTGCTGCAGAGTGTCTCACCTCAAACAAGATGAGGAGAAAATAAAGACTTCTGCTGTTAGCTTGTGTATGTGGAGGAGCTTCTGGAACCAGCCCAAATCTTCCTTGTGATTTTTAGCTGCAACAGGCATTCAGGAGTGTCCTTCCCTGCAGCCATTTGGTGGCCGTGCTGATGCTCCGGAGCTGAGCCGAGTCCAGAACGGTCGGGTCAAGGTGGTTCGATGTGCCACCTTTCACCGCCGACGCCGGCTCAGCCCTGAACGCGGCCGCAGCATTTTAAAGAGGCGCACTTATTTAGATGCTGCACCCTCATCGTTGCCTCCAGTCCTATTTATTTTGTCTCCTGTCCTGTGATATATTTTTTTAAAAAGCTTCACCTTGACTGGAGCGAACACTGAGGGAGGGAAACACTAACCAGGATGGCAACGGAGCAGACTATCGTTTGAAATGAAAATAGTAAAAATACCCGCTGAGAATTAACGTGTGTTCAGATGTCCACACCAGCCAGAGTCCTCAGGGCAGATAGAGCTCCTCCGTCTCTACATCACCCCCTAGAACGAGTCATAGTCCAACTTTGCCCATCCTGAACAGCAGCCAGCTGCTCATTGATCAACACATGCACATGACATGCTCAAGAACTCTCTCCTGGATCACTTCCTGTCAGTCCACAAACCTTCAGTCTGCTTTAAATCTGCCCTCCTACTGTGTTTCCTCTCTTTTCTTTAATCACATACATGCTGACACACAGCTCTCACTCTTCACCTATGATTTCATCCTGCTGTCTGCCCTCCCATCAGCTCCCTCATATGTTTCCATCTTATCTAATCAACATCTCGGTTTTCTTGTTGTCATGTGGATCTGTGGAGGCTTTTTGCTGCTGCCTGTTCGCCATGTATGTGCTGCCTGCTGCATGTAGTGCAGGGAACATGCAGCACTGCTGTACCGAGTGAGTTGGCCGCTCTCCTTGCCAGGTACAGGCCTAATGAAATAAAGCAAAACCCATCTTGTGTCTGGTATGAACATTCCCCCGCGCAGACATCCATCCCCCTCTGCTCTGTGGAGACAACAAACGCTCTGCTGCTAATTCGGCTGCCGGGGAGCGTCATTTCAACACATTTCCAGCAGCTTACCTAAAACAACACCGCAACATGGAACAGGTGTGTGTGCGCGCAACCGCGTCTCCGTGTGCCTGTGTGTGTGTGTGTGTGTGTGTGTGTGTGTGTGTGTGTGCGCGCGCTCATCGTGCCTGCGCGCTCTTCTGTGACCAAAAAAATAGAAAAACGAAGCAGGTTAGATAAGAAAGCAGCACACGTTGTGTTACATGCACGCTGGTTACATCGCGCATCCTGGCACAGCTGCCTGAAAGCTGAATGACGCTTCAAATCCGTGTGCGTACACACAAACACACACTGAGCGCACGTACGCGCACGGCAACACGCACACACCAACAGGCGAATGTGTTCTATCAAAATCATATGACAGGCGTGGTCATTGAGTGAAAACGTGAATGCCACTTTGTTTTTTGTCATTAGAGGCCAATTCGAGGCGCGTCGCGGCAGGAAACGGGGGGAAACGTACCTTCTGCAGGTCGATGCGTATCCTCTCCTCTCCTTTATGCGGGCTCTCTGGCCACAGGTGATAGCTGGAGCCGTAGTTGGGGCTGTCTTTGCTGCTGTTGCTGCCAGTCGCAGACGAGTTCCCCGCGTACGCCTGTTGTGTTACCGGGGGGGTTACGCGGGAGTCGCGGTGGTCGCCCTGCGCGCTGATCCTCCCAGACTTATTGCGGTCTTGTTCACAGTGCTGCGGACGCTGGGGACAGAGCCCCAGTGCGCCTTGCTGCTGCTGCTGCTGCCGCTGCTGCTGCTGCTGCTGCTGCTGCTCTTGCTGGTGCAGCAGTGGAGCCTGGTGAGTCCTACATAGCTCTCCTGAGCCGCTGGCGCAGTAGTTGATAGGCAAGCTGCTCCCCACCAGTAGCTGCTGCTGCGCTCGTAATTGTGGGATCTGTTGCTGCTGCAGCTCCTGAGTCTGAGACTCGAATGCTCTCCTAGCCTCGGTTGACTCACATACATTTAAAGAGCGCCCTTTCTGTGAGTTTACTCGGATTCCTTCAGGGGAGGGGTCCCTCTGTTGGAGTCTGAGATGACAGAGCTGCTGCTGCTGCTGCTGCTGCTGCAACAGCTGCCTGTGGTCTCGGTGCCCTCCTGCTCCTCCTCCTCCCCTGCAGCGTTCCACGATGCTTGCCTGTTGTTGGTAATTATTGGCACTCCTTCGGAGTCGATCCCCTCTTTTAGATTCCCGGGAAAAGAGCAGAGAGGAGGAGGACGACGCTGGCGGCGGCGGTATCGGCGGCGGAAAAGGTGGGGAGGGCTGCGGTGGGAGAGGACCGGCAGGATGGGGCTGGTTTGGAGAAAAGCTCGCCTCCTGCTCTGAAAAACTGCAGTGGCAGCTCGGAAAAACAGGCTGCTTCTCCGACTGCGGCGGCGGCGGCGGCGGCTGCTGGGAGCCGGCCGGGGCCCAGGGATCCTGCTGCAGGTGCGCCGGCTTCCCGGAGCTGGGTTCACCGGCTCGGTGTGAAGGTCGCTGGTTGGTGTCGTAGCTCGCCAGAGGTAGAGGGTCTCCGCTGTGAACAGGTCTCCGGGAGGGCTGGCTCAGACACGGCAGCTCCTGGAGGCTCTGGCGGTGCGCGGCGGTGGTCGGAGCGCGGTCCCGGTGGTGAGAAGAGGGCGGGGGCGGCAGGCTGAAAACAGGAGCGACTGGGTCTCGGTTCTGCTCTCGGTGCTTGTCGTCGGGGATCTGGTGCTGATGGACAGCTCCCGCGTACCGATGCCGCATCCCCCTGATCGCCGCGTCGCGCTGTGGTTGCTCCTTTGCCGTGCAGCGCTCCGACACCCGCTCATTGCGATCAGTCCCAGCAGAATAGGACCGACTTGTATCATTGGTAGGTTTGACCAGGACCTGCCTTAAAACGTCACCGTACAGCCAAAACACCGCCTTCGACTCGATATCGGTGCGTTGCCTGCCATGCGCACAGGTTGCAGCGGATCGATCAGCGGGGCTGTCGGGATGTCACCGGAACGGCACCGTGGAGACGCAGTGAGCTGTTTAAAGCCCGCTCACATGTCCACCGTGCTGATCCACTGCGGACCAACACATCCAGTTAGTGAACGTTGCCATAAGCACCCTGCATAACTACAAATCACTTTAGCTGCTACGTCACCAGCAGATCCTGGGCCTGCCACACATGATGCTTCACCAGCAACAGCCTCTGGGTCAGCACCAGCTCCAGCTCCAGCCTCCCTCCACCACAAAGTGTCAGCGTTTAAACAGGGAAACAGAATGCATTCAGTCCCCACTTTTTGTGAACCAAGAGGTGGAATAAAGTGATCAGGGCTGGAAGGAGCTTCACAGCACAGCATGAGCCCTGCAGGCTGGTATTTAATAATTGATCTGCCTGGTTTTGGATTACCAGGCAGAAATATTCACAAAGGCTGCTGCATGCAGAAGCTGCAGCCGGCTGTGCATGTGATCCGCTGCTGTTGCATGCTCCCAGTACAGCATGGTGAAGGCTTTCCACTGTCACAGCAGCAGGCAGGGATAGAGACAGAGAGAGAGAGGGGGAGGAAGAGGGCGGAAGAGGGAGGCTGGGCGCAGACGGCTCTGCTGCTGAAGGAGTTAGGAACACATCACTAAAATAGACCGTAGCCAGAGGATGGACGAGTGTCCGCCAGAGCTGGGATCAAAATGATCAATTCAGATTTGTTTCCTCAGTAAAGTCACATTTCAGCAACAAGAAGCTGAACTTGGAAGTCAGTTTGTTTTGTGACTGAAGCTCCTTGGATTCCTGGATGACACAGAAATCCTCAGTAAAACACTCATATCTGCATTTAAACTGAAAACTGGTCCCTCCCTCTGTATATCTATGACTTCCTGCTGACTTGTTGGAGCAATAGTGACACAAAGAAGTGGTATTTTACTGTTCAAAGACCCCCCTTGATCCAACAAAGCCCCTAAATTCTAAAGTTGCTGCTCTGGCTGAACTTTAAACAGACCTAATGGTTCTTCTAAGTAGGCTACGTGAGTCCGCTTTCTTTCTAGAGCACCTTTTCAAAGCCACACGCTTCACAGGGACACATAAAATAGACGAGCACGAAATACATCAGAGGCACACATGGTTAAAAAAAGACGTGGCTATATCTGTGCTCAGTGTTGCAGCTACAACAACAGAGGCGTGACTGGCCTTCGTGTTGAGCCTGAAGTCTGCAGCGGTCTGAAAGGTGCTGCTCCCACCAGATAGACAGTTGTAGGTTATTGATTAGGAGAAACCGTCTAGGTTCTGAAGCAGCAGTTTGATGGACTGGGTTGACATAATCGTGGTAATCAGCTGAGTACTGTGTGTAGATGTCATGAGTTTAAATACACAACTGAAGTTTAAAGTGAAAGTTGGTTACAACATAAACAAAAACACAAACAAGGCAAAACTACTGAAGAAAATCTAACTGGAATAACTTCATCTTAAAAATGTTTTTTAAATTATAAATGTGTGTTTATAACCATGAGAGCTAAGTACAAAAAAATCTTTAAATCATGTGGAAATACAAGTTAAACAACTTGTTTTTATGAGTAAACAACTAAACCTCTGAAGACCTGAGCTCTTGTTTGATTT